CCCTTTGCAGGTGGCTGGAGGAGTGAGCACGATGAGATGGTGCCTGTCCCTGTGCCAGGCTGCTCCCTCCATCCCGGGCACCACTGCCAGCTGGTGCTGGGAGAGATGCTCAGGGGTCCGGGGTGGATGCTCGGGGTCCAGAAGGGATGCTCAGGTTCCAGGAGGGATGCTCAGGGGTCTGGGAGGGATGCTCGGGGTCCAGGAGGGATGCTCAAGGGTCTGGGAGGGATGTTTGGGGTCCAGGAGGGATGCTCAAGGGTCTGGGAGGGATGTTTGGGGTCCAGGAGGGATGCTCGGGGTCCAGGAGGGATGCTCAGGGGTCCGGGAGGGATGCTTGAGGACTGGGAGGGATGCTCAGGGGTTGGGGAGGGATGCTCGGGGTGTTGGGAAGGGATGCTCAGGGATCGGGGAGGGATGCTCAGGGGTCCAGGAGGGATGCTCAGGGATCGGGGAGGGATGCTCAGGGGTCCAGGAGGGATGCTCAGGGGGTGTGAGAGGGGTACTTAGGGGGTCGATGCCCGCATTTAACTCCCTGGTTGCAGAGTGAGACCCGCAGAAGAGCGAGTGTGCGTGTGTCAGTCAGCATCTCGAACCAATGGGTGCCTGGTAGGAGGTCTGCTTTCCCCGGTGCACACACTGAGCCTGGTGCTCCTTCTGCTAGTTGTGTGCGTGTGTGTGTGCGTGTGCAAGGGAAAATCAGAGACACTGCCTGCCTGCTCCCGTCTCTCTCTCTCTCTCTCTCTCTCTAGCTCACTAACTCAGTCTCCCTCCCTCTGCAAACATTGGATTTAAACCTGCTCAGAATTCAACGCAGACGAAAGCAGCGGCGGCAGGAGCAAGCCGCAAGCAAATCAGCCGCTAGTCTACCGCAGCTCCAAGATGTACCATCCTGCCTGCTGGATCGTCTTCACGGCCACAACTGCCCTGCTCTTCATCCCAGGTAGTGCAGAAAGCTTTTTTTCTCCAGGGGATGGGGTGGCACAGGCTTGCAGGGTGGGAAAGCCGAGTGGTGTTGCGCGCGTGGGGGACCCGGACTTCATGCACATTGCGCACGAACGCACACATGCAGGCAGGCAGCGAGTTGCTCTGCAGCAGGGAATTGCCGAGCGAGCGCTCCCGGCGAGCGGGATTCGGCAGAGACCGACCGTCCCCTCGGGCAACCTCTGGCTGTAAATGGTGGGGTGACCGAGCTTTTTCCCCTTCAAAGTTGGGCATCTCCTGTGCCCTCCCTCTCTCCCCAGCTGTCATGTTATTCCCGGTGCTCCCCCTCATCCCCGCTTCCCTCATTCCTGCCAGGCAAACTCAAATCGGGTGCCAGCCCCTCGCTCCCTTTTGCAAAGTGATAACGAACCCCCCGATGCGGGCACCCGTGGGGGCTGCGGCGGAGGTGCTGCAACCTCCAGGAGCCGAGGAGGTGGCTCCCGAAATAGGGGTTGGCCTCGTCCCTGCAGCGTGCCGGGGACGGATGAGGGGGGAGACGCCGGGATTTGGATCCAGCGCTTGGCTCCGTGCTGATGCTCAGCGGGTGGGTCGCGGCACTGCATGCGCGGGGAGGGAGCGCCGACGGGGGCGGACGGCAGAGCTGCACGCCGAGGGGAAGAAGTCGCCGGCATTTTTTTTTGATGATGATGTGCACTTTTAGCAGCTGGAAGGATCACGGTCCCTGTGCAAAGCAGCTGGGGACCTGGGTGTCGAGGCTCAGATTCGATCTTAACCCAACATGTGTTTTTCATGACTGTCAGTGAGAATTATGTTGGACTCAGGAGGGCAGGGAAGAGGCACGGCTGTAATTTCAGCAGCTTTCCGTGGTTTAGTTACAGCGCTGCGCTGTGCGGGGCTGGCGTGTGTGGGAAGAGGATGAGGCTGGCGGGGGAGAGGTTAGCTGTGTCACAGCTGGAAAACAGCTCTTTCCACAGCTGTGACCAACACGAGGGGCCTCGGGTTAAAACTTGCTTGCGGAGGCTCGTGCCGTGACACCATCCACATCCCGAGGTCCCATGGCAGAGCTGTGCCACGCTGCAGCCTGGGTGGTCGGCAGGTACAAGAGCCCCTGGCGCGGGGCCGGGTACCAGCGATGCTGCGTGGGATGCAGGGGGAGGTGATGTGCGTTAGCCTGGGGGAGCAGCGCTGTCCCCTGGGGCGTGCGATGGCGGGTTGAGGAGCACTCATGGAGAACCTCTGATGGCAGTGCCTCCAGCTCTTCAGCCATGCCCAAAACCAAAATGGTGCACCTTGAGTTTAGCACGTGAGCACCAGAAGGATGACGCGGCTGTGTGAGCAGCCTGACTTTGCCGAATGCAAGGAGGGGGGTTATTAAAAATATTATCTCGCTAAGGCAGGTGTGCCTGGCGTGGGGGCAGCTCCCCTCACCAAGGCTGTGCCGAGCAGAGTGTTGGCTCTTTCACCTTCTTGCTAGACAAGGTTCCTCTGGGTCAAAATTGCAAAGAAACGGATGCAAGGCAGCCACGCACGTCAAATGGGAGGACGTCTGACACTTGATGGACGGACGTCAAGGTGTCCTTAAGCTGCAGGAGCTGGCAGAGACCTGGCACGGAGCATTTTTGCTGGCTGTTTGGCCCAAGGCTTGGGCTAGCTCTGACAGCGGTGTGTGCCAGGGAAGGAAAAGGCCCGTACATTTCAGCCCCCAGTAACTTGGGAGAGGTTTCTTGATCCGCGCTTACGTGGTTGTAGCTTTCCCTTCTTATTCCTATTAAGCAGCAATATCTGCTTTGGCTTTGAATGTCCCCTGAGCCAAACCAGCCCAGGACTTTGCCCAGCTGGGCTCAGCTGTTAATCCATGGAGCTGAAACCTGCTGCCTGCGTTAGAGAAGGGGAATATTCCAGTGCGCCGGGCTGGCTGCTGGGTGCTTTCCCCTCCTGCCCCCACACCCACCATTTTCTGCCTCGAAGCACGGGGTTGGAGCATCTTTCCTTTTCATTTTCGCCTGTCTTGCAGCGGTTGGATGTTTTCCCTCCCTGCCCAACCTGCCCACAGCACTGATTTCAGCCGTAACTCTAACGCCAGTCATGTTGGCAGAGGATGGCAGCCGGTGCGGAGGGAAGTCAGATGGTCCCTGCCAACCCTCGGAGCCTGCACCTTCCCAGAGTGGTTTTTTTTTTTTTTTTTTGTGTGTGTGGGGGAACTGTTTATTATTTGCAAGTATAATCCCACGTGGTTTATGCAGGTGACGCTCCCCTGGGATATGCAGAGGCTGTTCGTGAAGTGCGAACCCTTTCCATCTCCAATTTTATCTGAATCCTGCGGGAGTTTCGCACGGGGCGGTTGAAGTGAGAAGGGAACCTGCTTTTAGAAGGTGTAATTAGAGTGAAGGGAAACATCACAACTTGAAGGCTCCTGCAGAAAATAGCATTGCAAAGTTATTATTAGCTGTAATAGCTTATTTGCCAGTTTTTTCCTCTTTCTCTCGCACCCACCTCTGTTCTTGCCCCCCTCCTCTTACTTTTGTTAGGAAAGATGCGTTTTTCCCATCGGGGCTCATGTCGTCTCGTTACCAATTTACTCTTGTGGAATCTAAAGACACGAAAGGTTAATGCAATAATGAAACCCTGACCCCTCTGGTCATGGATAGCGTCTTACTCTGCAGCTTTTTATTTCTTTGTAAGACAAGTTTCCATCCAAAATAATTTCGAAGGCTTAATGCTGTTGTCGTCGGGTGCCTTGGGGGAGGCGGGTTCCTGGACATCAGTTGCTCTCTGAGGTGGGCTCTTTCTGATGGGAAGGATGCTGAGGATTTTTAATGAGCCCAGCACTGCAGGATGGGGAAGAGGAACGGGTAATTTAATTGTCAAGCCATTGGCAAATGCTTTGAACTGCTGGGCGTTTTGGGTGCTGTTGTTTTGAGATGCACCAGACCAGGGTGAGCTGTGCTGCATCGGAGAATTAATTTGGGGCGGAGGGGGAGTATATTTGGCTGATCTGCAGTTACGGTGTGACATCATGGCCCTACAGGTGGCAAAAATCAATGCACATCAGCCTCATCGCTGCCTTTGCTGGCCTGGTGAAATGTCTCCTCGTGGCAGTGGCTCCTTCCAGAGGTCAGAAATCTGGCAGTGCAGGGTGAGATGAGCAATCCCGTTTCTCCCTGTTCCAGGGCATCGGGGTCAAGGTGAAGCTTATGGAGCGTGGAGAGTCCCCCAGTGCTCTGCCCTCCCCTCTTGCACCCAGGACCTGGTTTTTGCGTCCCCCCTCAGAGACTCTGCCTGCGCAACCCCTTACCTCATCTCCGCTTGGGCGCATGGCTTTGGTGGTAGTCGTAAATCTGGTCTAATGTTAAGAAACAGGCATTGCAGGAGTTCAAAACGCCTCTCCATCCCTTCCTAGCCCGCAGCCCCTGCCGTGGGAGCATGCTTTTCCCACTGCCACCATCACCTGTGACGTGGCTGTCACCTCTCTCCGACGAGGGATGCCGGGCTGGTGGAAGGCTGCTGATCCCTGCGACTAAGCCCAAGAATAAGTACCTGGAGCACATTAGTTCCGCTTTAGTGTCATTTCAATATGAGCGAGAGGGACTTAAAGGGATTTTCTGTGCTCTCCCAAAGGCTGGGGGTAGTAGCGGATAAGGCACTGCAGCCATCAATCCTCCATCAGTGGGAGATGCTGGGGAAGAAAGAGGTCCCAGCAGGACTGGGAGCCCGCACCGGCAGGCGTCAGCCCAAAAACGCTGCCTGGTCTTCCTCAGCTCAGGGCAACTTGGGCTGTAATTTCCCTGTTGGAGGTCGATTCCTCCATCCCCTGGCTCCCGGGACAGGGAGAAAGCTGGCATCGACCGTTTGGAGGATGTTTTGTTTCTGCCGGGGAGGAGCAGCGCTCGCTCTCGTTTCCAAATGTCGCGGGGAGGGAGCGTGACGGCAGAGCGGGCACAGGCAGCGAGCGCAGCTTCTGCGGCGTGCACGTCCCCGCGGCACAAGTTTTCGGAACAATTTGCTCTGGGGACTGTGGGTTGCGGGGCCGGTGGCTCGGGCGGCTGCCTTCCAGGATGCCCCAAAGTGGCGAACCTTGCTTTGCGTTTTCCAGCAGCTTCTCTTTGACAGCGGCTCCTTTGTGCATTCACTAGTCGCAGACGGCCGGGTGGAGGAGCTTTTGCTGGTGCAAATCCCTGCGAAAAACTGAAAAAGGAGAAATGTTTCAAAGGCACCGGTGGGAGCCGGGTACCTTAACCGGTGCCTTTGAAAATTTTCCCCAAAGGCGTGAATATTTGGTTATGGCAAATTTCAGGCTGCATAAACAGCTGTGTTCGGATTTTACACTTGAATATGCAATTTGAAGTTTGCGCTCTGCTTGGTTAGAAGCCGCCACTGCCGCTGGGCGAGGAGCGGGGAAGGGGGCTGCCGGGGTGCTGCGACGAGCCCTGGGGGGAGCAGGGTACCCGGGAGGGTCCTGTTGCTGCACTCAGGTGGAGGTAGAGGAAAACTTGCGTTTTTTTTTCTTTTTTTCTGTTACATCCTCCATGACGCTGTGGGCTTTGCAGCCCTGTCCTTTTCCCATCACCAGTTAGGGAAAGCCGGACACTGGTCCCCGTCCCTTCATACCTCCTGGCCTGAGCATCCCCTGAGATGCTCTTGGCTGCTGGCGAGCGCAAGATGGGGAATGATCTCAGCTGTCACACTTCTCTTTGCTTAAACTTAAAAATAATAACAGCTCTGCTGCAAATCTCCTCGCCTCCCAGTCCTCTCTCCCTTTCCCTAATGAAGGCTTGGTACTTATAATTACCAATGCGGCAACAGCACATACAGAGGTGGCTTTGACACTTGCTGCTCAGTGGGTGGGTTTTGCCAGGGAACTCCTCTTCGTTTCGTGCTTAGAGGAAAGAAGCGCTTTCCTGCCTGCTTCACAAAAACGTGGGGACTGCGGTGTCACCCTCAAAAGGTGGCCGAGCAAGGTGGCTCGCTAGGTCTAGAGGGGTAGGCATGGCAGGGGGTGCA